AGTCTTATAGGTCTCCCTTTATATGTGAGGGCACGTTTACCCCTTGCTGCTTTCAGAATTTTCTCTTTATCCTTGTATTTTGCCAGTTTCACTATGATATGTCGTGCAGAAGATCGATTCAAGTTACGTCTGAAGGGAGTTCTCTGTGCCTCTTGGATTTCAATGCCTTTTTCCTTCCCCAGTTCAGGGAAGTTCTCAGCTATTATTTCTTCAAGTACCCCTTCAGCACCTTTCCCTCTCTCTTCCTCCTCTGGGATACCAATGATGCGTATATTATTTCTTTTTAGTGTATCACTTAGTTCTCTAATTTTCCCCTCATACTCCTGGATTTTTTTATCTCTCTTTTTCTCAGCTTCCTCTTTTTCCATAACTTTATCTTCTAGTTCACCTATTCTCTCTTCTGCCTCTTCAATCCGAGCTGTGGTGGTTTCCATTTTGTTATGCATTTCATTTAAAGCGTTTTTCAGCTCCTCGTGACTGTTCCTTAGTCCCTTGATCTCTGTAGCAAGAGATTCTCTGCTGTCAGCTATACTGTTTTCAAGCCCAGCGATTAATTTTATGACTATTATTCTAAATTCACTTTCTGTTATATTATTTAAATCCTTTTTGATCAGCTCATTAGCTGTTGTTATTTCCTGGAGATTCTTCTGAGGGGAATTCTTCCGCTTGGTCATTTTGGATAGTCCCTGGCGTGGTGAGGACCTGCAGGGCACTTCCCCTGTGCTGTGGTGTATAGCTGGAGTTGGTGGGCGAAGCCGCAGTCAGACCTGATGTCTGCCCCCAGCCCACCGCTGGGGCCACAGTCAGACTGGTGCGTGCCTTCTCTTCCCCTCTCCTAGGGGCGGGATTCACTGTGGGGTGGGGTGGCCTGTCTGGGCTACTTGCACACTGCCAGGCTTGTGATGCTGGGGATCTGGCGTCTTAGCTGGGGTGGGTAGGCAAGGTGCACAGGGGCAGGAGGGGCAGGCTTAGCTTGCTTCTCCTTAGGTGATCCACTTCAGGAGGGGCCCTGTGGCAGCAGCAGGGAGTCAGATCCGCTGCCGGAGGTTTGGCTCCGCAGAAGCGCAGAGTTGGGTGTTTGCGCGGAGGGAGCAAGTTCCCTGGCAGGAACTGGTTCTCTTTGGGATTTTGGCTGGGGGATGGGCGGGGAAGATGGCGCTGGCGAGCGCCTTTGTTCCCCACCAAACTGAGCTCTGTCGTCCGGGGGCTCAGCAGCTTTCCTTCCCTGTGTCCTCCAGCCTTCCCGCTTTCTGCGCAGAGCTGTTAACTTATGACCTCCCAGCCGCTAAGTCGCGCTTGCTGTCGGAACACAGTCCGTCAGGCCCCTCCGCTTTTTGCAAGCCAGACTCGGGGGCTCTGCTTGGCCGGCGAGCCGCCCCTCCGCCCCGGCTCCCTCCCGCCAGTCCGTGGAGCGCGCACCGCCTCGCCGCCCTTCCTACCCTCTTCCGTGGGCCTCTCGTCTGCGCTTGGCTCCGGCGACTCCGTTCTGCTAATCCTCTGGTGGTTTTCTGGGTTATTTAGGCAGGTGTAGGTGGAATCTAAGTGATCAGCAGGACGCGCGGTGAGCCCAGCGTCCTCCTACGCCGCCATCTTCCCTCCTCCCGCATTTTATTCTTTTTGATGCCATTGTAAATGGAATTGTCTAATTTCTCTTTCAGATAGATCATTGTTAGTGTATAGAAACACAACTGATTTTTATATATTGAGTTATATCTTTCTACTTTACTGAATTTGTTTATTCCAACAATTTTTGGTGAAGTCTGTAGGATTTTCTATATATAAGATCATGTCATCTGCAAACAGACACCATTTAACTTCTTTCTGTTCAGTATGGATGCCTTTTATTTATTTTTCTTGTTTAATTGCTCAGGCTAATCCAGTACTATGTTGAATAAAAGTGGCAAGTGTAGGCATCCTTGTCTTGTTCCTAATCTTAAAGGAGAAAACTTTCAGCATTTCACCACTGAGTATGATGTTGTCCTTGGCTTGTCATGTATGGCCTTTATTATATTGAGGTTCATTCCTTTTATATGTAATTTGTTGAGAATTTTTTTAATCATGAAAGGATGTTAAACTTTGTCAAATGCTTTTTCTGCATCTACTGACATGGTTATATCATTTTTATCTTTCATTCTGTTAATACAGTGTATCATATTTATCTTTTTGAGTATTTTGAACCACCCAGGCATCCCAGTAATAAATCAAGCTTGATCATGGTGTATGATCCTTCCAGGGTGCTGTTGAAGTCAGTTTGTTAGGGTTTTTTGTTGTTTTGTTTTTGTTTTTGTTTTTTTGAGAATTTGATCTGTGTTCATCAGGAATATTAGCCTTTTCTTATCACACTTCTAAAGGAATTTTATTATTTTAGAAGTCTGAGTCCAGAAAAATGGTGTTTGTGAAAACAATTTCTTTTTGGGTCAATAGTTTTTATCTTTTGCGAACTAAGAACAACTTAAAAAATGTTTTTAAAACTTCAAGAATATTCTGGTTGTGCACAGCAGATCAGTTATACACATGGTTTTCTGAATCAGAATCCCATTGAAATGATGATAAATTAATTATAAATGAGCACTACTGTTTCAGTTGGAGAAGAGAAGCACAGCAAAACAGCTATCAAATCTTCAACAAATTTCTAAAGCATAGAGAGTGAATGGAGGGCTGATAACCGTCTCAGGAGGGAGATTGAAGTTGTAAGCTAAATGTCAAAGAAGGAAGATTTAGTCTGGGAAAACAAGCCCCTACAACTACATAAGGCTCAGTATTGAAAGAACCAAATCTCAAGAAAGGTAGAGGGAGACTGGAGTAGAAAACAGGAGGCTCTCCCTGCCTAGCTACCTGCTACAACTTCTCTTAGCAGGTAACTGTTTTCCCTCCACAGAAAAGGGAGCTCACTCTCTAGAGAAACTGAACCTAAGAGACCTTGCCCTCAGGGACACTTGGCAGAGACAGAGAAAGAGTGAAGTGTAGGGCTGAAAAAGAAAGACTAAGTAATAGTCTACTTGAATTCTGAGACCCTTAGCTCCTTTCTCTATCCTCTTCCTAAAATTCAGCAGCCAGATACAGACCTCAGAGAATGAACAACTCCAGAGAAAAGACCTCCCTCTTCTGCCATCTAGACAGAAAATTCTCACCAAATTCCCAGCAAAGTGAATGAAATAATAATATCCTTCCTAAGACAGAGGGTCATGGAATTGCAGAACACCATGATTAAAGAAAAATTCATAAAAACTTTCAGAGATAAATCAAGTACTGTATGGCATTAGAATTCTCAAGAGCAACTATATCCTGAGTATTAAAGGATATTTTCAGATCTACAAGTTGGCAAAAAACTTACCCTCTGATTTTATTTTCTTAGAAATACACTGGCTCAGTCAGTAGAACATGTGTCTCTTGATATCAGGGTTATAAGTTTGAGCCCCACTTTGGGTATAGAGATTGCTTTAAAAAATTTTTTTTAATTAGGGGCGCCTGGGTGGCTCAGTCAGTTAAGCCTCTGACTTCAGCTCAGGTCATGATCTTGCAGTTTGTGGGTTTGAGCCCTGCGTCAGGCTCTGTGCAGATAGCTCAGAGCCCGGAGCCTGCTTCAGATTCTGTGTCTCCCTCTCTCTATGACCCTCCTTTGCTCACACTCTATCTCTGTCTCTCTCTGAAAAGTAAATAAACATAAAAAAAAATAAAATAAAATAAGTTTTTTAATTAAAAAAAATATACTAGAGTGTATGCTCTATGCAGACGTCTGAAATCAAGTCAGAGGAAGTCGTAGGCTCCAGGAATCAGGAGGTCCCATGTAGGAGAATGGAAGTGAGAATGTACTGGGCACCAGGCTTAGAAAATATCCATTTCAAATTGGACTAGGTGGACAAAGCAGATGTGAGAGGACATACCCAAGAAGAAAAGAGAAAGGATCAGTTATTTGAGGTTTACCAGTAATTAGAAAAATTATTACTAGGAGTTTGAAACATCTACCTGAGCAGTTGCCATAATTCTAAATTAGCATCTAAAAAGTAGGAATTGAAATAAGCAAAGAATGTACAAATAAAACCAAGAATGTACAAAAAATGAAACATAATCATAGTTGTCACACTTATGTAATATTTATTATAGTCATAATATAAACAATGAATATTGAGATAATCAGAAATTATATGAATCTATTGGGGAAAATGGAACAAGGGGAAGCATGTGTGTGTATGTATCTGTCTGTGGATGTGTGCATTTTGTATGGGGTGGGGGTTGAAACATAAGTCCTGCTCTCTTACCGGAACATCATTAGACATTGTCTAAAAATGAGTAAGTTGTGGGGGCACTTGGGTGGCTCAGTCAGTTAAGCGTCCTGCTCTTGATCTCAGCTCAGGTCTTGATCCTCATGGTCATGAGTTCAAGCCCTGCGTTGGGCTCTGTGCTGGGCATGAAACCTACTTAAAAATAAAGAAATAAAAATAGAATAAAGAAAAAAATAAAAAATTAGTAAGTTGAGAAATAGGAATAGTCAATATTTAGAAACGTGAAGCATAAATTTCAGAAGAAACTGCTAGAATCTTTCAAATCTTTCAAAATCTCAAACCTTTGGGAAATGTGAGGATGAGAGAAGATATCATTGTAAGGTGCAAATAACTATACACATACAACATACATACAGTCACACAAACCATACATACATATACATCAGTTATAGAATTTGATTTTTAAAACATTATTTTGATATGAAAAAAATACTTAATCCCTGTTTTCCTTTCTTTGAGGACAGTGATTTCTTGAGTTAAAATGTACTATTAACCTATGCTTATCATAGGTGTGCACAGATTGATCTCAAAGCCTAGCTTGTCTGGAGTCATATGTGTCAATATTACGGCAACTCTCTCTCAGATGTACTTCTGGGCACATAGCCGATGTTTGTGATGATGTTGGAATACCTTCAAAGTGTTCAGATAACCTGAGTTGGCATGCAAATGTCTATGCATTTTTCACTTTTTTCATCAGTCTTATTTGTGTTTTATCAGCTAAAATCCAGGAAGAGATTGGCCATGTAATTGGCAGACACCGGAGCCCCTGCATGCAGGACAGGAGCCACATGCCCTACATGAATGCAGTGTTGCATGAGATCCAGAGGTTCATTGACCTTATCCCAGTCAACCTGCCACATGCAGTGACCCGTGACATTAAATTCAGAAACTATGTCATCCCCAAGGTAAGAGATATTTCTCCTACACTGACTTTAGTGCTCTTGAAGTTCCCCTGTTCTCACTATTGGCTCAGTCCTCTACCAATACAAGATGAGAAAGGTGCAAAACTCATATATGTGGCAGCTTGATGGATTTTGTGTTGTTTCCAGTTTTAAAGTTTATTTATTTTATTTTTTTAAATTTTGTAATGTTTATTTGTTATTGAGAGACAGAGAAAGACAGAGCATGAGCATGGAAGGGACAGAGAGAGAGGGAGACACAGAATAAGAAGCAGAATCCAGGCTCTGAGCCGTCAGCACAGAACCCGATAGGGGGCTCGAACTCACAAACCATGAGATCATGACCTGATCCTAAGTCGGACGTTTAACTGACTGAGCCACCCAGGCGCCCCTATTTATTTATTTTAAGAGAGAGAGAGAGAGACAGCGTGAGTGGGGGAGGGGCAGAGAGGAGAGAGAATCCCAAGCAGGCTCCACGCTGCCAGTGCAGAACCCTATGCAGGGCTTAAACTCATGAACCATGAGATTGTGACCTCACGAACCATGAAATCATGACCTGAACGAAATCAAGAGTCGGACGCTTAACCGACCGAGACACCCAGGCGCCCTACTGAGGCTACATACTTTTATGGCAGGTTTTGGTATTTGGCTGTGTAAGTCTTCCAAATTTGTTCTGCTTCTTTAATATTGTTTTGGCTACTCTTAGCTGTTTACATTTCCAAACAAATTTGAGTATCAGTTTGTCAATAATCCAAAGCATTTGGCTGTGATTTTTATCAGGGTGATAATAAAATAATTTAGAAAGAATTGACATGTTGGTATCTTGAATCTTTCAATTCATGGATATGGCATATTCTCCCAATTTATTTGGACTTTCTTTAATTTTTTCAATATTTTCAGTGCAGTGGCTTGTATATCTATTAGGTTTTTCCTAGATGAGTGGTATTTTTGATGTTACTATAGATTGTATAATTTTTAAAATGCCTTTTCTACTTTTTTTGTTATATGGAAATATACTTGATTTTATTATCTTGATGACCTTACATCTAGCAACCTTTCCAAATTGACTTATTGCTAATAATTTGTGGATTTATTTGTAATTTCTATACACAGAATTCTTCAACCTGGTTTAATGTATATTTTTTAATGTTTATTTATTTTTGAGAGAGAGAGACAGAGACAGAGACAGAGACAGAGACAGAGAGCAAACAGGGGAGGGACAGAGAGAGATGGAGACACAGAATCTGAAGCGGGGCTTGAACTCACAAGTAGTGAGATCATGACCTGTGCCGAAGTCAGATGCTTAACCAACTGAGCCACCCAGGTGCCCCAATATTTGTTTTAATAATTAATACTTGAACTTTAAATTTTATATACTTGCAATGAGCTTTAATTTAAATATAAATAATCATGGATCACTCAAGGCTACTGTGTTGGACAGAACCGATCTAAGTTGTTGTTGTTGTTGTTTTTAATACTTGAAACTTTATGTTAAAACCTTTATTCTGCAATATTAAAAACTCAGAAAATTAAAAATAAATCGAAGTGCAATTTCTTTCAGTGGCCAGAATCTTGAACTGAAGTGAATCAATCTATATATTCCTTATTGATGCACTTTGTGTGAATATTCATGTGAATATTTAGCATGTGAATATTCATGCTAAAGAGGTATCAATGTGTTTGATTATATGATACCACATTATTGGGAGTATTTTAAAATTTATGGCATATACATCATAATACCTTTCTAAAATCATCAAACAGTACTTAATTTGAAAACACATTAGGCCTCAGGAGGTTCAGATGAAGGATTGTGTATTTATACTTTCATGAAAACAAATGTTTATATTTGTTGAGCTGATGTAGAAAAATAAGCTAAAATAGTCATGCTGTATATAACTTTGAAATGGTTAATAAAAACAACTTTGGAGGGCTGGCGCATGGCTGGCTCAGTCGGTAGAGCATGCGACTCTTGATCTTGGGATTGTGAGTTCAAGCCCCACATTGGGTGTAGAGACTACTAAAAAAAATACATAAAAAAAACACTTTGGGGTACCTGGGTGGCTCAGTCGGTTGAGCGTCCGACTCTTGATTTCAGCTCAGGTCATGATCCTAGGGTCTTGGGATTGAGCCCCGCATCCCCCTCCACGCTGAGGTCAAGCCTGCTTAGGAATCTGTCTCCCTTTGCCCCTCTCATCCACTAGCATGTGCACACCCATGCTTTCTCTCTCTCTCTAAAATAATTTTTAAAAGACATGGATTTACATATTAAACAAACAAAAAACCTTTGGGAGAGGGATGACTTCCTCTGAGTTGCAGAAAACCATTTGGGCTTCATCTGGCTTTCAGGTTATTTCCCAGCCAGGAAAATGCCTCGTCAGAATCACAGTTGCATGCTTAGGGCAGAAGGGTGAAAGAAGTGACACTTGTGCAGAGAGGGCTATTTCTCTTCTGGGTTTTCTAAATGAACCAGGCACTTTCTTCTGCCAACCGTATCCTAAAAATGGAAAACTCAAGTAGATATTTGAAATGCAAGGCAGCAGGAGATAAATTCAAGAGGATAACCTCTGTATAAACTCTGGCTCGGTTACCCTTTACTATAATCTTGAATAAATTTCTTAATCCTATGTGCCTTGGTTTTCTCATTTGTAAGCTGTTGATAGCACTGACCTTTACATCACTAGAATGTTGCAAGAATTCAACCAGGTAACATATACAAAATACAAGCTAAAACTATGACCATTTTTACTTATTAGACTGATGAAGTCAAAGGCTGAGAAAATGTTGTATTGGTGAGGGAGTGTGTAAATGAGCACTTTCAATCACCAGTGGCAGGATTGTAGATAACTACATCTTTTTTGGAGGACATTTTGGCAATATCTATCAGAAATAAAATATAGAATCTTATAACGCAAGAATTATAATTCTTGGTATCTACTACAAGTGCTAACAGAGGAATGTTCAAAAAATGTGTCCTTGCATCACTGTTTATAATAAAAGCATTCTGTTTTTGTTTCTGAGAGGGAGAGGGAGAGGGAGAGGGAGAGGGAGAGAGAGAGAGAGAGAGAGAGAGAGAGAGAGAATATCTTAAGCAGGCTCCATGCTCAGCACTGAGCCCAACATGGGGCTTGATCCTACAACCCTGGGTCATGACCTGAGCCAAAATCAAGAGTCAGATGCTTAGCCAACTGAGCTACACAGGTGCCCCTAAAAAAATATTCTTAACTATCTAAATGTTCATCAGTAGTGTAATGATACATTCATATTCTATAGCATGAATAAGGCAGATGTACATGTGTTGATATGGGCCAGTACCAAATTATTTTATTAAATAAAAAATAAGATTTTTATTTCTTTTTATGAAACAAGTACTAAAGCATGACAATGACATCGTTGCCTCTAAGTAAGGCTAAATGCACTTTCAAATCATATCTTGTTTAGAAGGCTAAGCAATGCATGTATGGAAGCACTGCATCTTGAGATGATTTTCATCAATGATTCTAGAATTTCTAATAAAATTCCTGCTGTGCTTCTCAAATTCAAGTAAAATTAAAAAAAATCAAGATGTAGTGGATGCTTGTCATTTGATAAAAAGAAAAAGAAGAAGAAGAAGAAGAAGGTGATAGGCCGAATAAACATGTAGATTTATTTGCCTGATATATATATATTCTCTCTGGAAGGGCATATTCCCTGGAAGGACATATCACTCGTTGTGAATAGTTGTTTTTGGAAAGTATTTACATGGGAGGGAGACCTACTTTTCACCATATGTGCTTTTTGTGACTTAGTGCATTCCTCTATTTTTAACTTGAGGTATAAGTTATACAAAAGAAAATTCACATTTTTAAGGGTAAAGTCTAATGAGTTCTGACCAATATGTGAAGTCAAGTAACTACCACCACAACCAAGATGTAAAACATTTCTGTCATCTCAAAAAAGTTCCCTCATTCTCCTTTTAAAATCAATCCACTTCCCCCAGTTCCAACTCTTGGTAACCACTGATCTGTTTTTGGTTCTACGGTTTTGCCTTTTCAAGAATGCAATGTAATAGAATGTGACATAAATAGAATAACTTGTAATCAATATAAATAAGCCTTTATCTTTTTTATGTGACAGAATGTATTTGAGATTTATTGCACTTTGTTATTGCACTTATCATTAATTTGTTCTTTTTTTTGATGAATGATTTTCTATCCTACAGAGTACCACAAATTGTTTATCCATTCACTACTTGATGGGTATTTGGGTTGTTTCCAGTTTGAGACTATTTGAATAAAAGTGCTGTGAACATTTGCATACAGGTTTTTGTGTGGATATAAATTTTCATTTCTTTTGGGTGAATGCTTAGGAGTGGGACTTTTGCTTACCTGTTTAACTTTATAAAAAACCATCAAATATTTTCTAAATGTGGCTGTGATATTTTACATTCCTGCTAGCAATGTGTGAGAGTTCCAATTGCTTCAGGTACCTTCCATCACTTGCCATTGATGGTCCTTTTTTTTTTTTTTAATGTTTATTTATTTATTTTTAGAGAGAGGGAGGGAGGGAGGGAGAACATGAGCGAGGGAGGGGCAGAGAGAGAGAGAGAGAGAGAGAGAATCCCAAGCACACTCCGTGCTGTCAGTGCGGAGCCTGATGCAGTGTTTGAACTCACGACTGTGAGATCATGACCTGAGCCAAACTCAAGAATTGGGTTCTTAACTTACTGAGCCACCCAGGTGCCACATTGTTGGTGTTTTTAAATTTTAGGTACTATAAGTGGTTATGTAGTGACGTCACATTTTGTTTTATTTCTATTTTCTGGATGGATAATGATGTTGGGCTTCTCTTCATGTATTGATTGACTATTCATCTATATTCTTTGGTCGAGTTCTCAAATTATATTCCTATTTTGTATTGGGTCATTTGTCTTATTTAATTATTGCAATCCTTTATATATTGTGTACACAAGTCTTTTATTACATGTAAGTGTTGCTAATATTCACTCTCAATCTGTAAAGGGCTTGCTTGCTTGCTTTTTTCTTCTTTCCTTTTCTTCCTTCCTTCCTACCTTCCTCTTTCTTTCTTTCTTTCTTTCTTTCTTTCTTTCTTTCTTTCTTTCTTTCCTCCAAAGAATGTCTTTCAAAGAGCAGAAGTTTTGAATTTTGATGAATCCAATTTATCAGTTATTTCTCTTTTGACTCGTGCTTCTGTGTCCTATCTGGAAAATTTTTTGCCAACACAGGTTCCCAAACATTTGCTCTTATCTTTTCTTCTACAAGTTTTATGCTCTTAGCTTTTGTATTTAGGTCTGCGATCCATTTAAAATTCATTTTCACTTATAGCGTGAAGTAGTTTATACTTCATTCCTTTTGTTAGGGACACCCACTTGTTCCAGCACCATTTATTGAAAATACACTTGCTTTTTAAATCTTAAAGTAACACTTCCACATATTACTTGTCTTAAAATGCACAAGGCAATAATATTGAAAACAAAATTATAGACCTTAAATATGATAAACTTAGAGGATGGAACTTCCTTCCAATTTTGAATTTAAAAAATAAAAAAAATCTCAGTATCATTTAAACACACACAATGGTATATAATGTTTTATGTTTATATAAATAATACATATGAAAATGTGTATACATCTATATTTTAAGTACATATTTATCTGTATCCATTGATCTATCTATCACACTTAACACCTAAATATTTCATATGTGTCTTTTAAGAACAAGGGCTTCTGCATAGCAGTAATAGCATTCACACTCAAAGAATTATCATATATACAATAACTTTATCTAAAATATAGCTATAGATGTTTTCAGTTATCCTAAAATATCTTTTTTTTTTTTTTAATGTTTGTTTATTTTTGAGAGATGGTTAGAATGCCAGCGTGGGAGGGGCAGAGGGAGATAGAGAATCTCAAGCAGGCTTCATGCTGATGGCAGAGAGCCCAATGCGGGGCTTGAACTCAAACTGTGAGATCAAGACCTGGGTTGAAGTCAGATGCTTAACCAACTGAGCCACCCAGGTGCCCCCCCCAAAGTATCTTTTATAGCTTTTTTTGAGGGGGCATCTAGTATCTAATAAAGGAATAAATATACAATTTTATTATCGGTCCCTTTACGCCCCTTTTATAAAGAACAGTTCCTTTTCTTTTATTTATTTCATTTCAATACACTATTGAAGAGTCCAGGATAGTTGTCATGTAAAATATTCCTCAGTCTGGTTTTGTATGATTTTTTTGTTTTTGTTTTTGGTGTGGTTTTTTGTTTTTTTTTTTTTTTTTTTTTTTTTTGAGAAAAAGAGAGAGCATGTGAGCAGGGGAAAGGGGCAGAGGGAGAGAATCTTCAGCAGGCTCCATGCTCAGCACGGAGCCTGACATAGGGCTCTATCCCATGACCCTGCGATCATGACCTGAGCTGAAACCAAGAGTCAGATGCTCAATCGACTGAAGCACCCAGAAGCCCTGTGTGATTTTGTTTTTGTTTTTGTTTTTGTTTTTTTAGACTAGATTCAAGTTCTGTGTTTTGGGGAAGAACATTACATACGTGATGTTGTGTACGTCCCAGTGAATTACGTTTTGGCTAGAGACATGTAATATCAATTTATATCATTATTGGTGATGCTAAGGTAGTCATTTATTAAGGAGGTATCTTCCATGGGGCACCTGGGTGGCTCAGTCGGTTAAGTGTTGTACTTCAACTCAGGTCATGGTCTCACGGTTTGTGGGTTCAAGCCCTACATTGGGCTCTGTGCTGACAACTCAGAGCCTTGAGCCTGCTTCAGATTCTGTTTCCCTCTCTCTCTCTACCCCTCCCCCACTCAAAAATAAACAAAAATATAAATAAACATTTAAACAAATAAACTTTTTGAGGAAACTCCCTACTGTTTTCCAGAGTGGCAGCACCAGTTTGTATTCCCACCAACAATGCAAGAGGGTTCCCCTTTCTCCACATCCTCACCAACATCTGTTGTTTCCTGAGTTGTTCATTTTAGCCACTCTGACAGGTGTGAGTTGGTATCTCAGTGTGGTTTTGATTTGTATTTCCCTGATGATGAGTGATATTGAACATCTTTTCATGTGTCTGTTAGCCATCTGGATGTCTTCTTTGGAAAAGTATCTATTCATGTCTTCTGCCTGTTTCTTACAGATTTTGAATACTAACCCTTTATCTGAAAAGTAATTTGCAAATATCTTCTCCCATTCCATCAGTTGCCTTTTAGTTTTATTGATTGTTTCCTTCACTGTGCAGAAGCCTTTTATCTTGATGAGGTTCCAGTAGTTCATTTTTGCTTTTGTTTCCCTTGCCTCCAGAGACGTGTCTAGTAGGAAGTTGCTGTGACTGAGGTTAGAGAGGTTGCTGCCTGTTTTCTTCTCTAGGATTTTGATGATTTCCTGTCTTACATCTAGGTTTTTCATCTTTGGAATTTATTTTTGTGTATGTTATAAGAAAGTGGTCCAGGTTCACTCTTTTGCATGTCACCCTCCACTTTTCCCAGCACCATTTGTTGAAGAGACTGTCTTTTTTTCCATTGGATATTCTGTCCTGCTTTGTTGAAAATAAGTTGGCCATATACATTTGTGGGTCCATTTCTGGGCTTTCTATTCTGTTCCATTGATCTATGTGTCTGTTTTTCTGTCTGTACCATACTGTCTTGATAATTACATCTTTGTAACATAGCTTGAAGTCCAGAATTGGGATGCCTCCAGCTTTGGTTTTCTTTTTCAATATTGCTTTGGCTATTTGGGGTCTTTTCTGGTTTTATACAGATTTTAGAATTGTTTGTTCTAGCTCTGTGAAAAATGGTGGTGTTATTTAGATAGAGATTACACTGAACATGTAGAATGCCTTGGGCAGTATAGACATTTTCATAATATGTGTTTTTCCAATCCATGAGCATGGGATGTTTTTCCATTTCTTTGTGTCTTCTTCAGTTTCATAAGCATCTTACAGTTTTCAGCATACAAATATTTTAGCTCTTTGATTAGGTTTATTCCTAGGTATCTTATGGTTTTTGATCCAATTGTAAATGAGATCAATTCCTTGATTTCTCTTCTGTTGCTTCATTATTGGTATATAGAAATGCCACAGATTTCTGTACATTGATTTTATATCCTACAACTTTGCTGAATTTATGTATCAGTTCTAGCAGTTTTTTGGTAGAGTCTTTTAGGTTTTCCATATAGAAAATCATGTCATCTTCAAAGAGTGAAAGTTTGACTTCTTCCTTGCCAATTTGGATGCCAGAAGCTTCCATTTTAAACCATAGTCCACGTGAGATGTTTGAAAACCAAAGTGACGAAATAGAGCAGAGGGTGGGAGCTACACCATCGTCCAAAGATAGTGATCAGTAGAGGGGATTCAGAGGTCTGGTACCCAAGTAACTAAGCACTCAGCATTTCAAATCCTATTGGGAGGCTACTTTAGCAACCTTACTAGCACTGGTCTTAATCTCATCCCTGTTTATTACTTGGTGTGTCTGACTAGAAATGCCATTGCCTTTTTTGGACCTGGGATTCCTCACGTATAGATCAAAAGAGTGAACTAAGTGATATGCAACATTTCTTCCAGCTCCACGACTTCTTTATAATAAAGTTTGTCTTCATCTGTTCATTCCAGGGCACAAGTGTACTAATATCACTGACTTCTGTGCTACGTGATGACAAAGAATTTCCCAACCCAGAGACATTTGACCCTGCCCATTTCCTGGATGATAGTGGCAACTTTAAGAAGAGTGACTACTTCATGGTTTTCTCAGCAGGTAATAAAAATTAATTTCCATAGGTACTGAAGGGGGCAAGATATTTTTGGGTGATCCGTAGAAACTTACATGGTGCCTAGTCTGGGATGAATAGAATTGTTCTTTGTCCATGACCGGAAGCATAACTCCCAATGCCCATGCACTTTCCCCCACTCACTATACAGTCCCATTATTAGAATTTTGGCTTGGTGACCCAGTTCTTCCAAAGTGAATATAGGTTCATTGAACCTATATCTATATCTATATCTAGAGGCAGAAGCCTCTAGATAGATCACACAGCTACCAAGAGCTCCTCTTAGCAGGTGAAACTCATTTAGACTTTACTCACTGCCATGAAAAAGGAATATAACTCCTCAACTTTGAGTTAAGTATTTTCTATGTGATATCCCCCACTCCCCAGAGTGGGCTCCAGGGTTACAAGTATCCACAAGCACAGAATGGGCACCAAAAGGGCTCACATCCTAATTAGGGAAACAGATTAGAAAATAGGTCGTTGTAATCCAGTGAGACTGGTGTTGTGGAAGAGGAAAGCACAGGCTGCTCAGGAGACCAGAGGAGGAAGCCGCCTGCTTCCTGATCACTTTATGAGGCATAAAGTGGAATAAGCAACGTTCTGATAGCAGAAAGGCAATTTGTGCTGCCTCTCAGGGGACAGGCAGCAAGGGAAAGAAGAGAAGGAAGGGCACTTTTAGAGAGTGGACTTTAGGAGCAGGGCATTTCAATAGATCAGGGCAGTCGGAACGTGCCAACTAGCTGTGGCATTAAGGAAACCTTGAACAAGTGGCACAATACCCTGCAGTAGTTCCAAAGCACCTGATATTCCTCTGCTCAAGATCAGAGATTTCGGATCTTGGGTGTCTACATCTACAGTGTGTGTTCTGAATCTCTGGCCACAGAGTCACCTTTATTTATCTGACAGCTTTTGATGCCTACTTTGGGTCTTACGCCATACATACCAAGATGTCAAAGACTGAGCTTTCCCTACAAGGAAACACACATTTTAGCATGGCAGAAAAAGAAATAAACAGAGAATCGAGATTCAAGGTGATGATCCATGCTTTAACTGAAGAATGAATAAGATTCTGAGGAAACCCAGAGAGGGCAAGACTGTACTTCCCAAGGGGATCACAAAGATTATAAAGAGGAAATGACATGAGACATAGGTCCTGGAAGAAGTATAAGAGAAGTGCGCCTTAACCAAAGGGAACAGCAGGAGATACAGCTCGAAACTTCACAGTATATTGGAGATCGATGAAGAGTTGGTATGGCTAGAACCAAGAGTAGAGATATGAAGGATGGAAGGAGGGTTATGGCTCATCAGACTGGGAACAGAATGTGGAGGGCCAGTTCAACCCATTTGACATCATCTCATAAGACAGATCAGGGAGGCATTTAATAATTTAAAGTGAGGGGCACCTGGGTGGCTCAGTCGGTTAAGCGTCCAACTTCGGCTCAGGTCGTGATCTCACGGTTCATGGGTTCGAGCCCCTCATCGGGCTCTGTGCTGACAGCTCAGAACCTGGAGCTTGTTTCAGATTCTGTGTCTCCCTCTCTCTCTGCCCTCCCCTACTCGCGCTCTATCTCTGTCTCAAAAATAAATAAACATTTAAAAAAATTAATATTTTAAAGTGAGAAAGTGACACATTTTTTTATTTTTTAAAAATGTTTATCTTGAGAGAGAGAGCACACATGTGTGTGAATTAGGAAGGGGCAGAGAGAGAGAATCCCAAGCAGTCTCCATGCTGTCAGGTCGGATCCTATGCAGAGCTCGATCCCACAAACTCTGAGATTGTGACCTGAGCTGAAATCAAGAGTCGTTCGCTTAACCAACTGAGCTTCCCCAGGCGTTCCAAGAGAGGACACATTTAGATATGTGCCTCTGAAATCACATGAAGGAGAAAAACTTTGTCTAAATTTTGTGCCAGAGGTAGAAAGGGAGACACAGGTTTATGAGTTCCCTTCTCTCAGTCCTCCTCCCTCCAATGCACTTGGACAAGTGGGTGTGTTTCTACAAAGATTTATGGAAACTGGAAATGTGAAAAGTGCAGTTATAATATGGGAATACATAATGAAGTGTTTGATGTAGACCTAATGCTCAATAGATATTTGTTGAATGAAGGGTTCCCATTAAGACACTACGTGAATAGCAGGTGTTCCCATCCTTCTATCCATCTGTCCCTCGACCCTTCCTGCCAGCTCTCCATCGGTTCAGCCATTCAGCAAATACTCTTTGTGACATACTTCTTGTGACAGTTCAAAACATAATATTCAAGAAACAAATCCCTTGTGTTTGTTATTTTCAGGAAAACGGATTTGTGTGGGAGAAAGCCTGGCCCGTATGGAGCTGTTTTTATTCCTGACCTCCATTTTACAAAATTTTACCCTGAAACCTGTGGTCGACATAAAGGACCTTGACACCACCCCAGTTGCCAGTGGGTTTGGACATATCCCACCCCCCTACAAGATTTGCTTTGTTCCTTTGTGAGGAAGGGCAGGCCATCTAGCCACTACTGTGCTGTTGTCTATAACTCCTCCTCCTCTTGGGTGTCACCCGCCTTCTTCTCACGACTAGGGATGCTTTCTCTGACCTCTTGCCTCATATTTCCCCATTGCCTCCACACCCACTGAACATCCAACCTCAATTAAAGGAGAGTTTCCAGAATTTCATTTCACAAATGCCGTGCCGTGCTGTTCTTTATACTCAATAACTCTTATATTTGCCACCACGTATGCTAATAATTATCAAATATTGGGCTATTACTATGTTATCACTGTGAAACAAAGCAAAATGGCTAACACATAGCCATCTATCCTCTCCATGTTCTAAATAGAAAGCACTATTATTTGCTGACCCAGTTCTTAGACTTTTCCTTGCATGATACAGGTAATAATTGGAAAAAAATAAAGTTCAAAGAGGCCACACTGGTCCTCAAACTGATAAGTACAGAGAGGAGCAAAGGGGGAGAGTGCAGAAAAGCTCTTTGGGCTACATGTCACCTAGGGTTACTTGAGGCTTGGATTTGAAAGTGAGCAGAGTTGTGTCCAGGAGCCGGGTAATGGAAGATCAGCAATAGGGAGGAAGGAATAATTACCATTAAAATTCATTCCTCTGCTTTGGTGCCACTATGAACACCAAAGATTTGACATGCTCTTACTACTTTGTGTTTCAAACTTAGAGTCAACTATTAACATATGCTTTCATATTGCTAGTCAATTTTTCTTTTCTTTTTTTTAAATTTTTTAACATTTATTCACTTTTTGAGAGACAGAGAGAGACAGTATGTTGAGGGAAGGGGCAGAGAGAGAGAGGGAGTCACAGGCTCCAGGCTCTGAGCTGTCAGCACAGAGCCTGATGTGGGGCTCGAACTCACCAACTGTAGGATCATGACCTGAGCTGAAGTCAGACACTTAACTGACTGAGCCACCCAGGTGCCCCTAATCACTTTTTCTATGTGTCATTTTTTTTCTCACCAACCTCGAACAAAATCCCTGGAAGGCGTCTCTAGATAATCTTTTTCTGCTCTCCACCACATTGTTTTATACCTAACATAAGGGTGATGGCAGTGTGATGCCATGATCCTAAAATCTTTATCTGAACACTTTATTGGGCCTCCTCTGTGGCTCAGTCAGTTGAGTATCTGACTCAGTCTCAGCTCAGGTCATGATCTCATGGTTTGTGGGATTGAGTCTCGCATCGGGCTCTGCGCTGACAGTGCAGAGCCTGCTTGGGATTCTCTCTCTCACTCTCTCTATGCCCCTCCCCCACTCACCTGGGCCCTCTCTCTCTCTAAATAAACATTTAAAAGAAAAAAAGGCTTTATCTAAAACATAGACAACGGAACATCATATACAAGTCCAATAATTTTCATCTTTTGTTTTCTTATGGCTTTAAATGTAGGAAATGAAATCTATTTAACCTTTTGCCTGCTCATCTCCTAGAGGAAACCTTTTATATTTCGGCATGCGTTTTTTAAAATTTATTTTTTTATTTTATTTTATTTATTTATTTTTTATTATATGAAATTTATTGTCAAATTAGTTTCCATACAACACCCAGTGCTCATCCCAAAGGATGCCCTCTTCAATGCCCATCACCTACCCTACCCTCCCTCCCACCCCCCATCAACCCTCAGTTTGTTCTCAGTTTTTAAGAGTCTGTTATGCTTTGGCTCTCTCTCCCACTCTAACCTCTTCGTTTTCTTTTTTTTTTCCTTCCTTCCCCGATGGGTTTCTGTTAAGTTTCTTAGGATCCACATAAGAGTGAAAACATATGGTATCTGTCTTTCTCTGTATGGCTTATTTCACTTAGTATAACACTCTCCAGTTCCATCCATGTTGCTACAAAGGGCCATATTTCATTCTTTCTCATTGCCACGTAGTACTCCATTGTGTATATAAACCACAATTTCTTTATCCATTCATCAGTTGATGGACATTTAGGCTTTTTCCACAATTTGGCTATTGTTGAGAGTGTTGCTATAAACACTGGGGTACAAGTGCCCCTATGCATCAGTACTCCTGTATCCCTTGGGTAAATTCCTAGCAGTGCTACTGCTGGGTCATAGGGTAGGTCTATTTTTAATTTTTTGAGGAACCTTCACACTGTTTTCCAGAGTGGCTGCACCAGTTTGCATTCCCACCAACAGTGCAAGAGGGTTCCCGTTTCTCCACATCCTCGCCAGCATCTATAGTCTCCTGATTTGTTCATTTTGGCCACTCTGACTGGTGTGAGGTGATATCTGAGTGTGGTTTTGGTTTGTATTTCCCTGATAAGGAGTGATGTTGAGCATCTTTTCATGTGCCTGTTGGCCATCTGGATGTCTTCTTTAGAGAAGTGTCTATTCATGTTTTCTGCCCATTTCTTCACTGGATTATTTGTTTTTTGAGTGTGGAGTTTGATGAGCTCTTTATAGATTTTGGATACTAGCCCTTTGTCCAATATGTCATTTGCAAATATCTTTTCCCATTCCGTTGGCTGCCTTTTAGTTTTGTTGATGGTTTCCTTTGCTGTGCAGAAGCTTTTTATCTTCATGAGGTCCCAATAGTTCATTTTTGCTTTTAATTCCCTTGCCTTTGGGGATGTGTCAAGTAAGAAATTGCTGCGGCTGAGGTCAGAGAGGTCTTTTCCTGCTTTCTCCTCTAGTGTTTTGATGGTTTCCGTCAGCATGCATTTTTAAAATATCATATGGGGATAGTGTACATATACATATGTCCAAAGTATATATTCACACATAGTATATATTATATATACACATATACATATGAGGTTAAAAATGTTGTTGTACAAGGAATAGAAGGATCATACCTCAAGATCATAAAAGCCATATACGAAAGACCCAACACTAATATCATCCTCAATGGGGAAAAACTGAGAGCTTCCCCCATAAGGTCAGGAACAAGACAGGGATGTCCACTCTCGCCACTGTTATTCAACATAGTATTGGAAGTCTTAGCCTCAGCAATCAGACAACACAAAGAAAAGGCATCCAAATTGGCCAGGAGGAGGTCAAACTTTCACTCTTTGTAGATGACATGATACTCTACATGGAAAACCCAAAAGATTCCACCAAAAAACTGCTAGAACTGACTCATGAATTCAGCAAAGTTACAGGATATAAAATTGATGCACAGAAATCAGTTGCATTCCTATACACCAACAATGAAACAACAGAAAGAGAAATCAAGGAATCGATCCCATTTACAATTGCACCAAAACTCATAAAATACTTAGGAATAAATCTAACCAAAGAGGTGAAAACTCTACACACTGGAAACTATAGAACGCTTATGAAAGAAATTGAAGAAGACACAAAAAAATGGAAAAGATTCCATGCTCCTGGATAGGAAGAAAATATTGTTAAAATGTCGATACTACCCAAAGCAATCTACATATTCAATGCAATCTGTATCAAAATAACACCAACATTCCTCACAGAGCTAGAACAAATAATCCTAAAATTTGTGTGGAACCAGAAAAGACCCCGAATAGCCAAAGCAATCTTGAAAAAGAAGACCAAAGCTGGAGGCATCACAATCCCGGACTTCAAGCTGTATTACAAAGCTGTAATCATCAAGACAGTATGGTACTGGCACAAGAACAGACACTCAGATCAATGGAACAGAATAGAGAACCCAGAAATGGACCCACAAACGTATGGCCAACTAATCTTTGACAAAGCAGGAAAGAATATCCAATGGAATAAAGGAAGTCTCTGCAGCAAGTGGTGCTGGGAAAACTGGACAGAGATATGCAGAAGAATGAACCTGGACCACTTTCTTCCCCATACACAAAAATAAACTCAAAATGGATGAAAGACCTAAACGTAAGACAGGAAGCCATCAAAATCCTCGAGGAGAAAGCAGGCAAAAACCTCTTTGATCTTGGCCGCAGCAACTTCTTACTCAACACATCTCCAGAGGCAAGGAAAACAAAAGGAAAAATGAACTACTGGGACCTCATCAAAATAAAAAGCCTCTGCACAGCCAAGGAAACAATCAGCAAAACTAAAAGGCAACCCTATGGAATGGGAGAAGATATTTGCAAACGACATATCAGATAAAGGGTTAGTATCCAAAATCTACAAAGAACTTCTCAAACTCAATACCCAAAAAACAAATTATCCAGTGAAGAAATGGGCAAAAGACATGAATAGACACTTCTCCAAAGAAGACATCCAGATGGCCAACCGACACATGAAAAAATGCTCAACATCACTCACTCATCATCAGGGAAATACAAATCAAAACCACAATGAGATACCACCTCACACGTGTCAGAATGGCTAACATTAACAACTCAGGCAACAACAGATGTTGGCAAGGATGCGGAGAAAGAGGATCTCTTTTGTATTGTTGGTGGGAATGCAAGCTCGTGCAGCCACTCTGGAAAACAGTATGGAGGTTCCTCAAAAAATTAATAGAACTACCCTATGACCCAGCAATTGCTACTACTAGGTTATTTATCCAAGGGATACATGTATGTTGTTCCGAAGGGACACATGCACCCCAATGTTTATAGCAGCACTATCAACAGTACCCAAAGTATGGAAAGAGCCCAAATGTCCATCAATGGATGAATGGATAAAGAAATGTAGTATATATATACAGTGGAGTATTACCCGGCAATCAAAAAGAATGAAATCTTGCCATTTGCAACTACGTGGACATAACTAGAGGGTATTATGCTAAGCAAAATCAGTCAGTCAGGGAAAGACAAGTATCATATGGCTTCACTCATATGAGGACTTTAAGATATGAAACAGGGAAGGGGAAACAAAAATAATATAAAAACAGGGAGGGGGACAAAACATAAGAGACTCTTAAATATGGAGAACAAACAGAGGGTTACTGGAGGGGTTGTGGGAGGGGGGATGGGCTAAATGGGTAAGGAGCATTAAGGAATCTACTCCTGAAATCATTGTTGCACTATATGCTAACTAATTTGGATGTAAATTTAAAAAATAAAATTAATTTAAAAATGTGTTTTTTTTTTTTTTTACAGCTAGACTCATAGTACACATAATATTCTACAACTTGCTGGTTTTCTACTATACGGTATGCCAGGGAAAGTTCTAAGTGATAAAAATTCGAGCAGATGATTTGAATGGACAGATTACAGTAAGTGATGAAATGGTTACTAAACAAATGAAAAGGTTTTAAAAATGTACAAACTAAAG